AGTATAAACATAGTTATGAATACGTGGATACATATAAGAAAAATAAACAATAGGACAGGGATGGTATAAGTATAAACATGGTTATGAATACGTGGATACATATAAGAAAAATAAAAAACAATGGGACAGGGATGGTATAAGTATAAACATAGTTATGAATATGTGGATACACATAAGAAAAATTAAAGAAACGATAGGACAGGGACGGTATAAGTATAAACATGGTTATGAATACGTGGATACACATAAGAAAAATAAAAGAAATGATAGGACAGGGATGGTATAAGTATAAACATGGTTATGAATACGTGGATAAATATAAGAAAAATAAAAGAAACAAAGGTTAAAGTTTTTGGGGTTTGGGGACTGCTTGGGATTAACCAAGCAATTTATTCAATACCTGGAATCATCCAATGAGTTTCCATATCTCTGCAAACCATGCAAACCCAAACTGGATCTGTTGGAAAGAGTTGATACCATTGAAACCATTGAAACATCCCTTAACACCATAGTAGCATCCCTGGACGCCGTAAAAGAAAGAATATCCAACCTTGAAAAAAAAGACACAACGCAAAAACCTGAACATCCAATAGCTACTAACCACATCTCTACCCAACAACCACAACCCAATCCAAAACCCAATCCACAAATAAACACAACCCAGACAAATATTGATATCCCAATCCTCATCAGAGAAGCTGTTGAGCGTGAACGGAAACGTCCAAACGCCATCTTATTTGGTCTAGAGGACATCAATGACAATGATGACATCACAACTGTCCGAAACATCATCAGTGATTATCAAGCATCAACCATCTCCGCTGATGAAATACTTGACATTTCCCGCATTGGCCGAGAGCTCAAAAACAGAGACGGCTCTGTGGACCCACGCTTGTGCAGGGTCATTTGCAAAAATGAATCAAGCAAACGTAAATTCATTTACACTATAAATTCACTCGCCAAAACCAACACCATCCATAAGAACCTCCATTGTCGCCCTGACCTAACCATACAGCAACGTGCCCGCTCCCGTGTACTCCGCACTGAACTCAAAAAACGTCTAGACAATGGAGAGAAGGACCTGTACATTGACTACCATGCTGACTGTATCAAAAGTAAGCTTTAACCCTCAACCACAACCCTACCTCAACCGATCCACCATCACCCAAGACTAGGCATGCACGCCCCTAACTACCTCAATTCCAACTACTGCTGGCCTTAAATGCAAACTACTCAATGCAAGAAGCCTCGTGAATAAAATACCTGAATTTTTCCTCCTACTAAATATGGCTAAATTCGACATTATATTTGTCTGTGAAACATGGCTCAATGCATCTCTCCCTGACTCCATTACCACAGTAAGAGACTATCATGTTTACCGATCAGATCGTGAAATTCGTAGAGGAGGTGGTGTTGCTATCTTCTATAAAAAGTCCTTACATCTAAAAAATATCCAAGTTACCCAGGAGCTTGCTCTTCCTGAGACCATCATCTGTGAACTATCCTTAAATATCACAATTCGATTCTTACTATGTTACAGAGCACCTGATTATGACATCGAACATGTAAACAAGCTAAATACATTACTAACATGGGCTGCATCCTGCCCATACCCTTTTATCTTTCTTGGTGATTTCAATCTACCTCATATTGACTGGACCCTAAATGATTGTACAACTGAAATCATACACACAACCTTCTACAATGCTATTACAAATCTGGGACTGGAACAACTAGTAACCAACAACACTAGACTAAACAACTGCCTCGATCTCATCTTCTGCAATAGTTTGAATTTAATTTACGGAATACAAACTAAAGAACCCTTTTCCAGCAGTGACCACAATATGATTGACTTTTGTCTCAACATACGCCCACACAAAAATCACCACAATGATGTAATCCCCAATTGTAACTTCAAAAAAGGCAACTATGATCTTATAGACAACGATCTCTCATCCCTTGATTGGCAATCTCTATTCACTGGATGCAATACTGTTGAAGACCATTACAACATATTTTTACTTGAAGTCAAAAGAGTCATCAAACTATATGTACCAACAACAACTCCCAAAACAAAACAAAAAAGCAGATTACCCATAACAATAAGGAAACTTCAATCCAAAAAGAGATCACTCTGGCGGAAAAACAAATCTGGTCACGTTGCCAATTTCAAAAGCCGATACAAAAATTTATGCCACCAGATAAAGACCGAATGCATCAATTATCACATTAAACAAGAGGAAAACCTTCTAAGCACCAATTCCACCCGTGCTTTTTACAATTTTGTAAACAACAAACTAAAAGACTCAAGGTCTATCCCACCCTTGATAGGACCTGATGGTAAAGACTGCAACGACGACACCATTAAAGCCAACATCTTTAACACATTCTTCGGCTCAGTATTTGTAAACAGCAATGGATCATGCCCAGTATTTCCTAGCCGTACCACAGATAACAACAATGATCTAATACATATCGATTTTACAGAAGACAATGTTGAAAAAGCACTACGCAATCTAAAACCATCTCTATCTATTGGACCGGATGGAATATGTGCCTACTTCTTAAAAAAGCTATCCACTGCCATAGCCAAACCTCTAAGCATAATCTTTGAAAAATCTTTCAGGACCAGCTCCTTGCCTAACCTATGGTCACAAGCCACAGTCATCCCCATCTTCAAAAAGGGAGACCCAAGCCTAGTTGAAAATTACAGACCAATCTCCTTATGCTGCGTCACCTGTAAAGTCATGGAATCAATTATTAACAATCCATCATCCTCCACTTAGAGACAAACAACCTACTCTCCAATAAACAATTTGGTTTCAGAAAAAAACTATCCTGTAATCTGCAACTCTTACACTGCAAAAACATATGGACGACACAACTCGACCAGGGCAAAGCAATAGACGCAATCTACATAGACTTCTGTAAAGCCTTTGATTCAGTGGTACACGACAAACTACTCCTAAAAATAAAATCCTATGGTATCTCTGGACAACTGAATAACTGGATAGAAGCATTCCTGTCAAACAGACAACAAATGGTCAAAATCGGGAGCGTCCTATCAAATCCAGTACCTGTCAATAGTGGTGTTCCCCAAGGCAGTGTTCTAGGACCAACTCTCTTCATACTCTACATAAACGACCTCTGTGATCATATTAAGAGCAATTGCGTTCTCTTCGCTGATGATGTAAAGCTGTTCAATACCACAGACAATACTGCTACCCTACAAAAAGATCTTGACTATGTATCAGAATGGTCAAACAAATGGCAACTTCAAATCTCAACAAATAAATGCTCTGTCTTACATATTGGCAAAAAAAATCAGAAAATAAAATACAAGCTGAATAGTCAAGATCTTGTTGATGACCCAAGCTCTGTAAAGGACCTTGGAATACTCACCTCTAATGATCTAAGTGCTAGAGCCCACTGCAACTACATAGCCAAAAAGGCATTAACAGGTGTTAAGGAAAACAAACTAAACAGAACGTGCAGCGAAGTCAGATAGGAAGACAGGTAAATGTGTGAGATAAGTTTTCTAGTTAACACGCAGTAAAAATACGGATACGCTTGTGCTATCAAAATTATAATTTATTCCATTTAAGAATTATAGCATAGTCATTATCAACAGTCCAGTAGTCATATATCATATTCAGTCAAGTCTTGTCAGGGATACTCTAATTGCAAAGTCCGTGTCGAATAGCCAGTGTCAGTACACATATAATAAATCTGTCCAAAACTTATCTTCTCTCCATTGAGAAATATCTTCAAAGTAATCCAACACTTCTTCTCCTCCCCGTTTCAGCAAGAATGCAGTCTTCAATAAGCCAGCCAGTAAGAGCCAGAGAGTGCCTTGCTGCTTATATAGTACTTTTACAGCTGCACCCTTAATTACATTCCTTTAGCTTAAAGTCACATACACTTTATCTGACAAACCATGATTCATCATTTTATTATCTTTACCCAAAACAGTTAGGGTAAAACAATGTTATCCCTAACATTCTCCCCTTTTGGGTAATAAT